ATGAAATATTTGGAAGGCCATGTTTCGCTGTCAATCAATTGACATGCTCCGCCTCCAGCACTTGTCAACAGATATGATTCGAAGTTCTCATGGTAATAAGGTAAAAAAAAAAGTAAAGTTGTCCCTGTGTGGGGGAGTGGATGTATAGGGTCATATTTCCTCGACCTTGGCACTAGTTGGAGGTGAGTGGTCAGCTTCACGTCCCGGCTGCTTTACCCCCCGGTAACCATTGGATAGGAGGCTGAGTCCCCAGAGCTGGTCTGGGCGACGTGGAGAAGTGAAAATCCTTGACATTTCCGGGACTCGAACTCTGTCACTTTCTTCAATAAAATACAAAGAAAAGATTATTATAAGGAGTACTGCAATTTTGGATGTGAAGCCGTGTAGCCTAGAAGAAAACTACTTACGTTTCGGAAGAAAAACTGCCTCTATCTTCAGGACCGAATGGTCTTTCGAAGAAGCAAACAGAGTGAGCAAATGTATTCTGCTTGTTGTTTACTAATTTGTTTGCTCATATTACTTTTCAACATTGAAGATGTAAGCAATAAGTTCCTCCGAAATCTCGATAAGCTTCTATCAGACTACACACACTACTCCTTATAGTCTCCTCGATACTAACCTTAGATCACGCAGAACTGTGACAACTTTAGTCACACGTACAACGTGATTTGCTTTGCAGGGCAAAACCCAAAAAATTTCTGTCACAATGGACTACTGAACTCATTTCCGCTCCTGTTAATTAATGTAATACGTGCGTTGACCCGAAGTTTAGGCCATTAATGTGTGGATAATTCGCCAGCGGGCCTGAAGTATTATTGAACAATTTCAGATAATCTGTTAATTTACTGGCCGATTAGATTCTGCTTGTGAAATAGCCTATATATGAGATTGGTGCTCTGCAGTAATGTGTAACGCTAACCAGCATACATAACTGTAAACAGGTTATAAATTATTTGGAAAGCTAGTAAAAGGTGATTCTAAATTATTGTCGGGGATTCAGCTTATAGGCCACGGAAACCCCGACAATGATTTAGAATCAGCCTGCATATTCTGGAACAATATACATAGTAGAATTTGGGTTTTCACGGCAGAGAATGAGAAATGGTAGTAAAAAATCACAAGGTCCCTTAATATTGCTCACGTTTTCATCATAAGCATCACGGTGCATCACTCAACTGGCAGTAGATGTAAGTCAGTCACAAGGAAATTTTTATAAATTTTGTAGACATTTTGCAGATTTCATCTTTTTATAGTGAAAAAAATTTAAATTTCAGTTAAAACTCAAGAGATTTTGGAACACCAGGAAATTATCATGCCTTAGACCTCTCGCTTTAGAATTCGCTACAGAACGCATTAAATCCTCACAGTCTGCTCTGTCTCCACCGGTCGTTGCCTGGTAACGACTCTCAACACCGCAGATTCCTCGACTTCATTATTCTCGTCCATACCAGTTGGCTACTGTCTCGTAGCAACTCCTAGCCAGTGTCTCCTAGCCGTGTCTGGCCACCACTGGCGACCACTCGTTATTCCAGGCTGGCATACAGTTCCGACTCAACAATTGTCTCTCTCAGAACTCATTAACTGAAGATTCCCTGCTTCGGAGTCAGAATTACTTTACGAACAATTCCTCCAATGTCACGCTCGTACTTATTGACGTGGGGACTTGTTTACAGAGCCGTTGCTTAGCAATGGCTGGCTGTTTAATTTGCTGTAGTCTAGCAACAGATGTCTCATCTCGCTCCTCTATTTTGATTTCAGCCATCATGTAACAATATGAAGCCAATTAAGTCACTACTTTACTTTAGTTAATCCGTTCTTTCTATATCATACGGTATCGAGGATGTTTTTCTACGAGTATTTTTGATCATTTTACAGACAGTAGGACTCCTTGGACCAGTGATCAGCTCGTCGTAAGGCCTGTACCTAAACACAGGACAACACTAACACAGAATAAACACATTCCAAACATCCATGTATTGTGTGGGGTTCGAACACACGATCCAGGCTTCCGAGCGAGCGAAGGCAGTTCATACCTTAGACTGCTCGGCTATCAAGACCGACTAAGTCATTACTACGTACTGGAAATGTGGGGAGATACAACTGGCACTTGACCGAAGTTGGCATGGAATTATGAGCTACAGGAGAGTAAGAAGATGATTTTGAGGCTGGTACAGGCCACGAATTGCCTTATCTGAGAGAATAAGAACAGAGTATTTTTTTTATTGCTAGTGGGGTGGGACTAAGTCCCTTGTACTACGGCCACTTCTGGCCTATTGTACCAGCCCCAGATGACAGGTGAGGGTGATTGTGGAGCAATGGGTGGAATGAAGATTGACAGGGGAAACCGAAGTACTCGGAGAAAACCTGCCCCAGCGCCACTTTGTCCACCACAAATACTACTTGACCAGATCCGGGATTGAACCACAGCCGCCGCAGTTGGAAGCCAGCGACTGACCGCTTGAGCTATGGCGCGGCCCAAGAACAGAGCAATGAGGTTGCGAACAAAAGGCGTGCTTCGGGGTTTTGTTTCAGAGCCACGTTTAATAAAACATACAGCTGGAATGCACCACTGGGCTGCAGCAAGCCACTTTCTTCTTCATGGTCTCCGAAGCAAATTTGTAACTCAGGGTTTATAGCAAACTTGAGATATTTCCGTTAATAATCGCTTGTGTCGTGTAAAGTGTTAATCTTGGATAAGATGAATGACCTGACATACGTGATCTTGTTAACTTCCCCCTACAACGAGGCTTACAGCTATACGAAATGAGGCCTTCACTTGTTCTCAAGTTTCTCAATCCGTTAACAGAATGAAGTGCTTTCAGAAATCAAATTAATGTAATTACAAAACATCAGTTAGATGCCTCGCATTTGTAACAAATTAATGTTGAACTTCACAGTAGCTCACATACATGAAGTTACATTGTAATATAGCAACTACAATTGCCGGTCACAGTAACCGAGCGGTCTAAGGCATGCACTGTCTTCGCTCGCTTGGAAACCGGGATCGTGGGTTCGAATCTGTTTCCTGTGAGGTACAAACTGAATTCTTATATATTATTCTTATACACTGCCTGTCACTGTAGCCGAGCGGTCTAAGGCATGCACTGTCTTCGCTCGCTCGGAAGCCGAGATCGTGGGTTCGAATCCCACTCAGGGCATGGATGTTTGTGTACAGGTAGAGGCCTTGCGACGAGCTGATCACTCGCCCAAGGAGTCCTGCCGTATGTGTAACATCTAGAAAAACCGAAATGAACGGAGTTCGTGGAGGTAGGCCTAGGCCCACTGGGGCTGTAGTGCCAAGGAAGAAAAAAAACTAGCAACTACATATTATTACGCGGGGTTTATAAGATTTAAGGAAAGCATTTGCTTTGAGACATTTCTCTCTACAAGGGCTCAAACAAAGATATATTCTTTGTAGTAGTTTACATCCATATAGCTCGAGCTTGAAATTCATATATACTACAACAACTTTTGTTACATTACACTTTGATTTTAGTGGTTCTTGTAACATTTACGCAAAAGTTGTATCTGATGTTGGTCAAGTGATAGAGCCATATTGTGATACTGAATTACATTATTAAAGTTTGAGGGTGACTGTTTCACAATGACACAGGATAGGTATTCAACATGAGATAATGTTTTAAATAGTCTTAATATGGCGGGATAAATTGGTAAAAAAAATATAAAACTATCCCTGTAACAGGCAATGAAGGCCCATAAAGTTGTGAGACATCGAGGCTCCCATATTTTTTAGACAATCGGCTCAGAGATGGCGGTAAGGTTGGTAGCCTTACGCGCCGATTGACCGACCTTTATCATCAGGATTCTTCCTGATAACTTTGCCAAAGCGTTCCACCAATAGTAACAAGATATTTAAGTACTTCGCTGACTTAATAGTTATTCTATATCTTTGTTATGCTCCTTGGTTTCTGTCCGCAAGCGAACTATACCGACCGAGCGACGGTCGCTTGTCGGCGAAGTTAGTGCCAACTTTAGCCAATAGAGGGTGTGGCGTGGTCAGCGCAAAGAATCCCCACGGCCGTTAATTTCGGTTTTCTAGACCAGAGCCGCTATTTCCTTGAAATAGCTCCTCAATTATCCTCGCGCGGCTGAGTGGACCCCGTTCCTGATCCACTACTTCTCAGAAAATCTGATAATGCCGGGAATCGAACCCTGAACCTCTGAATCTGTAACCAGGAACTCTGACCACTAGACCACAGAGACGGTCAGGCCTAACTGCAAACAATTTTAAATTCACTCTACATCCGAGAGGAACGTCACCCTCCACCCGGCAGGTTCTCATTACCATATTTAAATTAACAACAATAAATATGCATGAACTACAGTAGGACACAAATCTCTGATAATCGAATTTAAACACTGTGTTTAAGTCTGTTTGTATTCCGGCTAACAGAGAGAAACCTCATTTATGCGGAGAAATGTTCGTCACAACTGAGCCTCACAGGACCAAAAGCAAGAGTTCCTATTCAGTCCTGTAGCTGGAGTGGCAAATGTACATTGCAATGAGCTCCTATTGGTTCACGGATATACAAAACTGTGGAGACTATATCCAGACTTTATTAAAGTTGCCATGGTTACGCATGGCCTTATGTAGAAATGAATTTCCTTTGATCTAATGTTAATTTAATTAGAAAATTGCAGCAGAAACGTAAAGATAAGTAAATTAAACTATTTTAAATACGAAACCACATGTTTCTGCCAAAAAGTACAATTATATTTTAGAATGAAATTCGTAAATACATTGAGAATGAAGAGGAAAATTTCGAAATAACATGAAATACAAAAGTGGATTTTTTCTGCTTGGAACTGATGGTGATGGTGGTCTGATGATGATGATGATGATGATGATGATGATAATAATAATAATAATAATAATGATAATAATAATAATAATAATAATGGTAAATTTTTACCTGTGCTTAATTAATTAAACATCATGTCGTGAAGACGTTTTGGGAAATGGAGGTATAACTCCACCATTCTTGACCTCGATGCCAGATGGAGATGAATGGTCAGCTTCACGCTCCTTGCCACTTTACCATCTGGGAAAAAGCCCTTGATACCCGTTTTATAGAAAGATGCTGGATCCTAGATTCCGTGTGTTCCCTGTGGAGTAAAGAAAAATATCTTTATTCTCCAGGAACTGAACTTCGGCCCTCCTGCTCGTAGTCGGTCGCTATACCTACTGAGCTGGCTCGAACCCGTAATAATAATTCAATTCAATTCTTTATTATTTATGTTTGAGCCAACAGCCGCAAGGCCAATTAGTCACAGCACAGTGCAGATACGTGTAGTTACATACTGGACAAGCACAATATAAAGTCAAAGACTAATTAAAGGTAAGCATTGGAGGAAACATATTAATGTATATAATGAAACAAACAAACAAAATAATAATAATAAGAATAATTTCATTATCACAAATCTAATTTGCTATTGACAATTGAGAAATGTAAAGTGTAGATATCTAGAAATAATAATAATAATAATAATAATATCGCATCATTGTCAATAAAAACAACTCACTAATTTTGCCTCTTAAGGCGCGTCCACATTACTCGTGCTCACCAGGCTTGTGCTTGTCGGGAGACTCGTCTGGCTTTTACCTGTGCTCGTAAATCTTAGTCCACACTACTTCAGTTGCTCGCCAGGCTTCGGCGCGTGAGGATCCGTATATTTACTCGTAGTGTGTATAGGCTGTAGTCGTATTTTGATTTATTGGCTATAGTTTTTAAATTAAAATTTAAAATTTGCTTGTCTCGTGACTTGTCATATCGTCCTCATTACTCGCCAGCATAATGAGTCACACGAGCATGAGCACGAGTAATGTGGACGCGCCTTAAGAGACACAAAAATGGCGACGGTGCAAACAGTTGATGATATGGCTATAGAAAGTAGAAGATAAAATTTATTAGATCTGATATCACCGCGCTTTGCTTGCTTTTACTTGCTCATAACCATAAACACGGACCCATTACTTAACTCCTGCCATATACACACGATGCAATTCCAACTGAAAGGACTGACTTTGCCAGTCTGCAAATATTTTGTGCTTTATACTACAGGGAGAAATTCGAAAGTTAAAAGTAATAATTTCCCACTTCTTAACAACATAAATTACACCATAATACGAACATACTACGGGCTTTGCATACTCGCAAGCCAATCATAATATCAGATACACAAGAAGTACAAATTAACACGTTCCAATTAGCACTTCTAATTAAGCACACTCCATGAAAATGATGACAGAAAGGTTAATTTTGGCAGATCCATTTACTGGCTGATTTAGTTAGTGGTTATCAGATTCTTACAGTCTCATGTGCAACACTCTTCTATAAAATTTTATTAAAATTTTTCTCTACATATTTCGACCAATGTTGGTCATCATCAGGTGTTAAAATTTTTGGGCGAGGAAACTCCTGTCTTTGTTTTTGTTTACGTTGTTAATATGTACATGTTCTTTCAATGCGCATGCGTGTTTAGGTTGGTGGGTTGTGTTCTGTCTTGTGTTGTGCTGCGTGTGTTATGGGAATTAGTATTGTATGTAACCAGCTCGTGCATCCCTCTACCGGCAAACTGCGTAACCAGGATCTCTCGCAGCAACATGACAATTATGGCGTACAGCGGGACAGTAACAAAAATGATATTAAATCCATGAAATAGTTAGAAATAATAATCCGCCACTATCCTACGTCGCCTAAGGGCGCTGAACTCAAGACCCTTGACTTTAGAAGATTTTTCCTAACCACTTGGGCGCACGGATACTGCAATGTTCTCTCTGACCTTAATGAAGAGCGTAGGTCAAGTATAACAGGGTAAATAACAATACTGTCACGTGATGGCGTGACTATAAACGGGGTTTTTATTCGTAATCGGATTTATTATATCGGTGGAAAGCCAGCGACTAACCGCTTGAGCTATGGCGCGGCCTCCAAAATGAATAAAAACGTATGTGAGTTAGGCAGGTCGCCACATACATACAGAACACAAACACAGACATCTATTCATCGAGTGGGATTCGAACTAATGGTCCCAGTGTTCGAGCGGGAGAAGACTGTTCATGTCGCAGACCGCGCAGCTACCTCGGCACTAGATGGAGACGAACGGTTGACTTCACGTTCCGGCCGCTTTATACATAAACATGTGCCAGATAAGACTCGAATTGAAGACTGAGTGGACAGCAAGGTCGGTGTGGGCGCTAAACTAAATCGGAAAATTTAGGCATTTTTAAGTAAATTTCACGATGCCGTATTTTATGAAATTCTTTTCGAATTTTTCTCGTGTTCCATACTGGCCAACACAGAAGCGTGATGATAGTAACAGACACATATTTTCGTAAGTTTTCTTCGCGAAGACACCAAAAAGCTCTGGGGATAAAGCACACCTTACTTGAAATATGAAAAATATATTTTAGTTGCCTTATGCTGTCGCTGGGAAACGTAGTGTACAGTGAGGTAGCCTCCTTCATCCTTATCAACTATCCATATTTTGTCTCTATGGGTTAATAACGTCGGAGTATATTACTTTGTAGGTTTAAGTACGGCACTTTGAAAGTTCTCTTTTATAACTCACTCTACGGGCTGTCGTTTGAGAGGCTACGAAGGTTATTTCAAGTACTTTTCTAGAACTTCACGCGACTCAAAATTAGCTAATTCGGTAGTGGTTTGGGCTGACGACAGCGCCACTTAAGTTGACCTCTCTAAAAACAGTTGAGTGACCTCAGAGCGCTGCTTCGCTGTATCGAGTAGACGCCCAGAGCTATGAAAAACTACATTTCTTGTACGGCATAACAAAAGGAACCAGACAAAACACTTCTCCAAAACAAAGATAACAGAGAAAATGAGAAGACAAGGAAAGAAATTATAGAAAGTGAAAGAAAGTGAAATACGAGAAAGAAAAAAGTAAAAGGAAGAAATACGCGGAAGGAAGAAAGAAGAAGATACGTGGTATACGAAAAGGAAGAAAAAAGAAAAGAAACAAATTAAGAGGGCAAAATTTTGAAATAAATCAAATAAGCCAAAAAGACAAAAGAGGAGGAAAAGGATGCATTAAAACTACGATCGTTTGATGTAGGACGTTGTGTATTCTGGACCACAGTTACCAACGTTTCGGAATAATCAGCAGACGTGATCTTCGAGGAAGGAGAAATGAGATGGAGTAATAGAAATACTTTGAAACGTTATTAAAAAACTCCGTGGCCTGTACTCCGCAAGCGAACTATGCCGACCGAGCGACCGCCGCTTGTCGACGAAATTAGTGCCGAATTTAACGGTTAGAGGGTGTCGCGTGGTCAGCACAACGGATCCCCACGGCTAGTAATCTCTGCTTTCTAGACAGGAGCCGCTATTTTTTTGAAACAGCTCCTAAATTATCCTCACGAGGCTGTCTAGGCCGCACCATAGCTCACCGTGGCGGCCCGGGTTCGATCCCAGGCATGGTCAAGTAGGATTTGTGGTGGACAAAGTGGCGTTGGGGTGGGTTTTCTCCGAGTATTTCGGTTTCCTCTGCCAATCTTCATTCCATAAAATTCATCTTCATAATCACCCGGGACAGGTACAATAGGCCAATCAGTGGCCGCCGTGCCGAGTGGACCCAGTTGGACTCCACCCCCCACTAAGGGAATTAATCCTCACGAAGCTGAGTAGGCCCCGTTTCACACCCACTATTTCTCAGAAAATCTGATAGTGCCGGAAAATCGAACCCGGAGCCTCTGAATCTGTAGCCAGGATCTGTGACCACTAGACCACAGAGGCAGTCAGGAACGTTATTAACGAGTAAAACAAGTTTCACGGCGGCATATCCCAGACGACCGTGAACTTGACGCTCAAATCCGTGAAAGCCTCAAATCCCACAAAGGAATATGATAAACTAATATATAATAAAGTTTATATGTTTTTAGTCTTATTGATATTTAATTAAAATTGCAATTTTACACAAGTAAGTAAAAGACAAAGAATTTCCGAAAGTTACTGCTATAACCATGATCCCTAGGCATTTGTGTCTCAAAAGGGGGTGCATCTGAAATTCTCTTAGTTCAGCGGGAAGTAGAGCTCAGTCCTGCGGTTGATTCTGAAGCGTTACACAATTTAATTGTTTTTATATTGTGCAAGGAAAAGCTTTTATCAAAGAAAATCCAATCACGACACAGCAAAGGGAGTTGAATGTAAAACGACTAGGCTTAAAGCCATGTACAACACTGTTAGTATACAAATGCGGGCTACATCCCTGGGGTTCCGCCATGGCATTACGGCATTCTGCACTCTGCACTCTGAAGCCGTCTTCACAAGAATTTCCTTGTGAGCTTAATGACCTCAAACTTTACAGACTTTTATTATTGCTTTTCTTGACTCTCTAATGAAAGAAATTCAGAAATGTGACATGTTAAAGTTTCCTTCTCAGTCCGCTGTGAATTATCGAAGTTTCCGAAGTCCTCTTTGCATATTACTAATAAAAAGAAACGAAGTTATGAAAACCATTAACATCTTAATGTTTTTAATTTGAGCTCCATTTCGCTACTTGTTGAGCTTAAAATGTAATTACTCGTCAACAGAGCCGACTTCTCCACACAAAAGTTTTAATTACTGAGAATTGATCACTCTAAACAAATATCTAGTTAAGCTAGTTTCTTGGGGTGGGGTGAGACTGATTCCACTTGGTACGTCGACCATTACTGGCCTATTGTACCAGCCCAGGATGAGAGATGATGAGCGTGGAGCAGTAGGTGGAATGAGAATTGGCAGGGGAAACCGAAGTATTCGGAGAAAACCTGCCCCAGCGCCACTTTGTCCACGACAAATCCCACTTGACCAGACCCCTTGCTCGAACCCGGGCCGCCGCGGTGGGAAGCCAGCGACTAATCGCTTGAGCTATGGCGCGGTCCCACAAAACTCCTAAATCAGATGTGTACATTGTAACAGGATGTTGAAATATAAAATCACGGAAGAAAAGTCCCGCTTAAGTATATCTGAATTTCCTATCGGCGTACGAATACCGGAAGTATGCGGAAATTCAACGTAATACATTTTTCGATGACGTAGCACTTTACGTCAATGAAGATCAAGCACTCCGCTTCCAATACTAGATGGAGCGCATTACATTACATT